CTAAGCTAAAAATATCATTAGAACATTAAAAGGCATTTTATTATTATTATTATTTTGCAATAAGTGAAGTTAAACATGAATATCATATACATGGACATCATGCATTTTTAATTGCTCAATTTCTTTTCCTACTATTCTATTCTGTTAACTCTTTTCAAAATTTGTAGATTGTCTTCATTTATTAAAGGAATTGTTGCATTTTTCAAGTTATTTGGTTGAGGGTGATGTCATCTGATATATATTTATGCATTTAAAAATTATTTTGACAAAATTTTTCATATATTTGATCTCAAGGTTTTTGGAATTTATCATACTTAAAATGACTTTAAACATTTTTAGATTATAAATTTTTGGGGAGTCAGGGATTTAGTTCAGTGGCATAGCACCCACCTGGCAAGCATGTGGTTCTAAGTTTAACTCCCTTAACCCTCCCCCAAAAACAGACAAAAATATTTTTCAAACTTTGTAAATTTCCATTTGAAAATATATGAAGGCCACATGTGTATTTTCAATGTTTAGGATTTTCCTTAAGTATAGTTTTTGGGCTGTGTTTAATTTAAAATAAGAATTTTCTTCCAGGTGTGGTGCACTTCTATAATAACAGCACTCGGGAGGCTGAGGAAGGAGGATTCTTGCAAGTTAGAGACCATCCTGGGCTAACAAAGTGAGCCCAAGTCCAACCTGAACCACATAACAAGACCTTGTCTCAAAAGACAAAATTTTTTCCATTAAAATATATTTTGTATTTTATAAAACATTTGTCTTGCATATATTCTAAATCACATATTCTAAAAATATGTCTTTAAGAATCTGGGAACATATAAGATGGAGGTGTAAACCAGGTTACCAAAACTACTGAAAAGACTTTCTGGGTTTGCACAGATGTCAAAAGCTGGAAGAAACGCAGACTGTCATCGTCTTCCTTGTAGCCTTGGTGGAAGTCACAGGGGCTCAGTGTTGCAAGCCAGAAAGAGGCCGGATGGCAGGCAAAGGGGGTTGGAGCTCCTTTTTTACTCTTCTGACAGAAGATTCTACAAGCCCTGTGTTGCCTTCTGGGCTTGAAGAAAAGCAGACACATGCAAACACTGTATTGTGACCAATGTCAGGCGAGGTGTCCATCAGAAACTCATTTTGCCACTTTGATAGGACCTTAAGGTGGGCTCAGATGAGAAAGGAGAGACACCACATTTCCCTGTCACACAGCACCCCATCCAGGTAGTACTGAAAAGGAACGTAGTTTTGCAGATAGACTTAGTCCTACATAAAATGTGGTAGGAGGCAGTTGTCTGTTACAAGAGAGCTTTGGCAGGGCTCACTGGAGCGCAGGAAGGTGACCTCCATCCTTTCCTCCAGGTGGCAATACACAGGTTTCCTGTGTGCACAGGTGATCCAGCACAGAAAACAAGCCAAGATCTTGGGCCCTGATCAACAGAGAAGCTTATCCTGAGACAGACCTTCCATCCAGCTGTCTTACTGAGCTCTATTCACTTCCAAAGTGGTGCTGATTTAGCTTCTGAATAACTGCAGTTGGGAGATTTCATTTCCCATTTTATACAACTAGTTAGCAGTAGAGTAGTGATTAGAACTGGGATTGCCAGACAAACCCCATGCTCTTTTTTCTTATGTGTCCTCTGAGGCGATTCTTGAAGGTCAGAGACTTCTTCCAATCTAAAACCCTTGTCTTTCAGTTTCACAAATGAATCTCTTGCAGTTATATTTAATCAGTCTCCTTTCATGATCACTGGAGTGACCTAGCTGCACATCTGGGAGGTTCTGGAACCTCCTAGAGCAGAGGCTGCTTAAGAGGAATACTTCAAGGTGCCTTTTTGGCAGGGAGCATTTCATAAGGCACTGAGACATCCATGCACACCCTGAAAAAATTGCTTTCAATTGTCATAAATCAAGTGACGTCACTGAATCCTTGGATATTATCGAGAAAGGAGGTATGGTGGGAGAAATAGTTGGACAGCGCAATGACATGACACACTTTTTTATTGTTTTTTCAAGTTTCTAAAGTCTTTTCTCTGCTTTGAAATAGTTCTAATATAGTGCATTCTCTTTGTGTTTTCAATCAATTAAACAAGTTAACAAAAGAGAATGATGGGTATTCAAAGATTTCCAATTTTTAGCAACTCAAAAATATTTACCTGGCATCTTGCATCCTTGAGTCACAGAGTGACAGTTTCTTTTTTGAAGTTGAATAAAGGCGTCTTTTACCCACAGTGCACTAACACAAAGTTTAGGATCAGAAGAGATACCTTTGAGAGTTCATGATAGTGATTTAAAAAAGAGAGGCCAGCTCTTTCTTTTTCAAGTATTCATTTCCATTACACTCGTCTGTTGTCTATTCTACTAGTGACTGAAATTGTCTTCTAGCAGGGTTTGCTACCTTCTGTCCAGCAATGTCTTCCTGCAAGTCCAAACCACATACAGCCTTCGCAGGGAGGGCTGTAAGATAGTGGCTCTCAGACATTAGGAACACCAGGTACCCTGAAGATCATCTAAGCAAATAAATGCTGAGCCCACTCTCAGGCTTTGATTTAGTAGCTCTAGATGGGTCCTGGATATATTTACTTTTAACAAGTTTTCTAGGGTTGCTAATTGGCTGCCCTCTAAATCAAATATTTAAATTAGCCTAAAACACAAAAGTATCTATGTCACTATGCTACAAAACATTCTTCAGAGGTTCTTTAACCAGTCTCACATGGCTCTATAACTTTGTTCTTGATTAATTCTTGTGTTTTTCTCACTTTCGCCTGCTTCTGTGGTGATAAAGTTTAAAACAGGTATTGAAGGTGAGCATATACTTGAGAAAACATGTGTGTGTGTGTGTGTGTGTGTGTGTGTGTGTGTGTGCATGTATGTGCTTGTATTGAGTGTATGTTTGTAAAACCCTAAGACTCTTCTGGAATAAGCAATGCATAGCAAACAATTTGCAAATAATATTCTAGATGATAATCTTTATCATAAATTCCAGTTCATCCTTATAGGATACTTTTATTAATTTTTTATTAAACTTCTGAGTTAGCATACAATCTGTACCATATATTGCTTTCCTTTTTCTATAAGCCTTTAAAAATATAAAATTAAGTCTTAAGCCACAAAACTTGAACCATGCAAGTCTATATAATCTAGAATACAATTAAACAAATCGTAATTTATAGTATTTTTCAGTAACTTGAGTGCAAAAATTTCTCTTCTGGCAGATTTCAAACTATCTAAGCAGTGTCACTGAACACGGATTTGGGAAGCAATTTGCTGTTTCAGCTCAATATAGGGTATTTGTGCTGCACCTGTAGAAAGCTGCAATTTACTTCATTGCAAGTTTATTTAATTTTAACAGTTGTTATGTATATGAGGTAGCTCACAAAGCTCCTAACATTCAGCCAGCAGGAGCTGTGCTGACTCAGCGGCAGGCTTCTGGCCTATTGCACCCGAATGCAAACACAGGGCAATGTCTGGCTTTATATTCACTGTGCCCTCTTGCACCTCCCGAACTTTGCCTTCAGGATCAGTGTCTGCTGCCAGAAGCCTGCTGCCATGTCCTAGGCTGACCCTTGTGTCCTTCCTTGGGTTTCTCTCCACTGTTGTCCTCTCTGCAGCCCGGACTTGTTTTGCTATTAGACCATGAGCTTGTCCAACTCAAGGACTTGCCCTTTCTTCACCTCCAAGCCCAGAACAGAGTCTAGGGGGACAGAAGGGGACAACAGAAACTGCACTACTTGCAAAGCTGGGTAACTCTTGGTTGCCAATTAGCGTAGCTCTCTGCAACTTTCTTTGTATTGTGGAGCTGATGAATTTTACTGGACCTCATCTACAAAAGAGCAGGGAAGAAACAGCTTTCTGTGTGCATTAGTAAAAGCCTGCATCGCAATGAAGTTTAAAGACTGAGCTGATAGGGTAGATTCTAGATGCCTGGAGATAGTGTTTATGATATGTGTATCTTTCATTACCCTAGTTAATTGAAGTTGTTTTTAAAGAGAAAATGACTTTATATAAGCAACAGACTCAATAACATCACAGGCAAGAAGACACACACACACACACACACACACACACACACACACACACAGAAACAAGAGAGGTGAAGGACTAAATGTAGTGCTTACAGATAGCAAGAACTGTTGTAGGCAGCTGAGTTAGTTAGGAATACTATAGGCAGTAAGGCAGGGCTAGGTCCCTGATGGAGCCAGTGCAGAAGCCTAGATACCTTACAAATGGGGGAGAGACAGGCACCTCCTGCTGTGGGCCAAGACTCAAGAAAAAAGACCAAGCAAATGCATCCATATCCTAAGAATTGATATTTTAAATAGTTCTCTATCACCCTGAGGAAGTCAGGAGTCACTATCCCAACCCCCTTGGAAGAGTCACTGCTCTCTAAGAATGCCCCCTTTCTACTGACTCCCTTCCCCATTTGTTCCCAGTTTAATCATTTTTAACTGAAGTATTAATCTTATTGATTAATCTTATTGATTAATCTTATTGATTAACCACCTTATGCTCATCTGTCTTGTGAGTTCCCAGTTATCCCAACTTAAACCCATCTCATCCCATGATTTTATTCAATAAAAGTATCCAGAAAAGACAGAGTCCTGGGCAACCTTCCCGGGACCCCTTCTGTCTCTCTCAGACAGAAGCTTTCTTTCTCTCAATAAATATATCCTGCTCTTTAACCACCATTGTTCCTAAAATTCATTCTTCGACTTTAGAGAACAGGAACTCATACCAGACATAGGAGATCAGGAATTTCATTCATCTACATCAGAATTTTCTGGAGGACCACAAATACTGCCAGGGCATCTCCTCAACTCACTTGTCAGATGCTTTTGCTTGGCTCCTCCCTCTGTGGACTGCTTGGCATGGACAGTCTGGAGGTTAATTTTCAAGTCAAGTGAGATTCTACATTCCTTGGAACCTCAGTTTCTCAGTGGCAGGGTTTACAGAATTTTCTCAGCGCTTTTGAGCAAAGAAGCTGGGGATGTGTCGGGGAGTTGACTCACCTCATAATCAATGTCCAGGGCATCTGCCTCGCCCTTGGCCCTGAAATGCTGTGTGTGTTTGTCCACGGTAAAATTCACCTGCTTGCCCACACGCTCGATGAGGACAGAGTGCCAGTGTTGGTCATCCAGGAGGCTGCCCAGGATAGCTGAGGGCGGGCTACTGCTGAGCCGAGCTTTGCTGTCCTCTGTGAAGAAAGAGGAAGTGGGATGGCATCTGTGCCCGAGGGCAGTGTTAGCATTGAAGTGTTCTGCAAGATGAGCCAGTTTCCTGTATCCTAAATGTAAGAGCCCTTATCTCTCCAGACCTGCCCTGTGCTGGCCTTGCCAATGAATAACGGCTGTGTCCTCAGATTCCAAGACTGGATTTTAATTCAAACGCATTAGCTCCTAGCAAGAAATTAAATGCTTCCTGGACTTAAACAATTAAGTAATGACTTGATCCTAATGGCCTCACCAATCAGACTGCAAGGTTTTTCACTTTCAAGAAAACATACATATCTTTTGAGTTTGAGTATTTCTTGAACAAAGAAGGCAGATCATGAGATGTGCAGAGGAGGAAGAAGAAACTTGGATTAGGTCTGAAGAGGTAGTGGAGCTGCTGAGTTAGAGAATTACTCAGGGAAAGGCAAAGGTGAGGAGATACCATCCTTGTTACCATTGTTAGCTGCCTATTGCATGAAGGATCCTTAAACAGGGAGTTTACAGCCTCTACTCCAATACTTCAATGGAAATTCCTGCCTGTATTTTATAAGTAAAGAAATCTGAGGTTCAGTGTGGTTAATCACACACACAGACACACAGATCTCCTGTGATGACAGTTGGGCCTATGCACATACAGTGTGGGACATTCCCTTTAAGAGAGACACTCAGGTGGAAATGAGTTCTCAATTCACACATCTCTGACTTCCTTCTTGTTCTCCTCTTCCAGGATTATTCTTTGCCTACCTGTAGCAATACATGGAAAAGTTAACAGCTCCCTCCTCCTGCAGCATTTGCCTCACCCAAAGCAAATGAACTAAATACAAGTAATCATTACTTATAAATTAGTGTTCAGTTTGGGGTGTATTTTATGCATTCAGCTAAAAGTAGCTCTCCTCTTGCCTGCCATGTGTTTTCACAGCACAGCACGCAGACAGCCTGCTCAGCAATGTGACATTCAGGGGGTAGGAACTGCCACTTCCCTGGAGACTGCTTACTCCCACCTCAAGTATGGCCCCAAGTCACTTGCCCTTCACTTAAGAACACCAAATTGCTTCACACAAGCCGGCGGAGGCAGGTTTGGCACTTAGGATTGCAAGCTGAGAGCCTGTGCTTAAACATCTAACCCTATTTTGTTGTTTTGTTACTTGTTCTACAAGTAATTAACTAATACATATTTTTCTTTTCTTTACCTCTCCCTTTCTCCTTCTTTTCTGAGGTGTTGTAATCTAGGGAGATACAGCACTAAAAGGTATGCTATCTCCTCTGAGGACTTAGGGTGGGACTCTACAACAGATGTGTACCAAGTGTCTCTAGGAACCCAGCAGTGCACATGGAGAGCCATGGACACTCAGTAAGAGCACTCATTTACGGGAGCATTTGGGTAAAAATGTTATTCCTTGGAAGAGATCTATCTACGTTATAAAACAGGTTGCCAGCTGTTTTATAAAGATCCCTATGCCTTTTTTTACCTGACCTTCCGAAATGACCCTCCCAAATTTAATGTGTCAGATTATCAATATTGGTATTCACTTGTACTTATCAAGCTTCTCATATAAGGAAAACATTTTACATATGTTGTTTAAATTGTTCCTGAACACAGCTTTACAAAAATGTCAGTCTGCCAGAAGCCAGAAAATTTATCCAAGGACACAAAGAATTAGAATTGCCATTTGGCTCCACCTGACTGCAAAAGTAATACTCTTTCCACTGCTTCCTCTGGGAAAAATGATGTCCGCATTCTCTCTCATTTCTCATGTTGTGATGAAGTGCTCCCCACTGTACAAGCATGTAAACTATGCTGCTTAGTCAGAATGGAGAGTGTCAGAAAAGAATTTGATGAATTGAAAAGCAAAGAGTTGTGGCAAAGGAAAATGGTACAATGTAGGGACAGAAGGACATAGTGCAGAGCGAGAGCATAAATTTCACCTCCATAGGGTAACCAGTCCAGGAAGACTACGCTATACCCTTGTATGATTATATTCTAGATGCATGAAGGGTCTCATAGTCACTCCTGTGAGATATTAGAAGAAAACAGGAAGCAATGTGATTCTAGAGGACTTGATTTGCAAACTAGAATAATATTTGTGCATTATTAAGCAGTGAAATAAAAGTTCTTTGTTGTTAGGAGATTTCTTACTCTCAATGAATAAACATACTTTTCAGATTTATTTTGGAGTTGTTCAAGCTGGTCTTTAATTTGCATTCATTTTCTGTGACATTACTTCTTTATAAAATGTCAGTATATTTATGTTTTTGGTAGTAAGTACTTCTTATATTTTAATTAATGTCCAGAGCTAAATAATAAGTAGAAGTAAGTATTTTATTAGACTGTAATTTCCTTAAGAATAAGGACTAGCATCTGGGTGGGATGGCTGACACCTATGATCCCAGCTACCAGGGAGGCTGAGGAATGAGGAATGAGGATTGTGAGTTTAAGGACGGCCTGGACAACTTAGTGAAACCCTAGCTCAGCATGAAAGCATGAGAAGGGCTGTGGATACATGGAGGCATAAGTAAAGTCCTGAATTCCATTCCCAAAACCTCCAAACAAACTTGAAAATTTCAAGTTTTCAACAATCAGAACCAAGTTCCATGTCTGAAGTAATAGAGATATTCATCCTACAATCTTTGCCTGAATGACAGAATTTATGAAAAAGCATGCAACTTCCCCAACTGACACTGTGTTTGAAATGCTCTTTATGAACAAATCTTTATGAACAAATCTCCATATAACTCAAAGTTAATTGTGGATTCAGAGGTGCATCCTGATCTCCCCATTCTTAAAATTTAACACATGGAATATCCATTGTCTGGTATTTAATATATAATTGTGAAGGTTTACAACACATTAGTGATTAATACCTGGACACTGGGGAATGATAAATAGAGCACTTATGCCAGTTGTATATCTATGCAATGATATGATCTTAAGCAACTGATGGACATCAATGAATGGGTTTAGAGGTAATGTGGACTGCTGCATGATTTACATTATACGTACAGAGAACCCTCAAGGTATGGCCAGCCTGATACAAACAATTTGGGTTATGACCAGAATTTTACATTTAATTTAGGATCAAAGCCTTGAGTTACAACTCACAGGCCAGTCTTAATGCCAGAACATATGTAAGTGACCAGACGCGTGTGTTTGCAAACATGCTTTCAGTTCTTGCTGCAACATAATTGTAATGGTTACTGCTATCAAAATGTCTCCCAAAACCTGGGAAAGAAGTGAGGAAAAGAAGGGAAAGAAAACAAAGCAATCCCAACAAAAAGAACAGTGTTAAAGAAAGGAGAAACAAGCAACCTTAGACGAGATTTTAGTTCTGAAAAGGCTAAGACTTGGTGACACAGAAGCAGGCCAATAGTGGGCTATAGAGTCTCCTGAAGAAAGAAAGGACACCAGAGAGCCTGATTCCTGATTTTCCTATGGAAGGGGAATCTCCTTCTAAACAATAAGCACCTTCCATTGCATCTTCCCTTTCTGCAAGCCAAAGATAATCAACTTGAATGGTGAGTACAGTATGAAATTATTTTCTTGTATAATAGGCGTATTTTATAAATTTTGGGGAATACAATAGGAATGTTATGTTTCTGTAAAGCACACACATTATACAATCCATTTTTTGGTTAAGAAAAGGTTAGTTAAGGGGTTCTTTGGAAGGTTTGGAATGCATTATGGGTACTTCCATTATTTCCCAAGGGAAAATACTCTTGATTATAACCTAGTTGAGTTATAACCAGTCCTCACAAACAAACTGAGTTTGTAAGTCAAGGGTTTATTGTACTAATTTTTTACAGCATTTTTATATTTAAAAAGTTTGGGGCAGTAACTGAATGTGGGCTTTCAAAAATGGCAACTTGGAAAAAGTGATGTTCTCATAAATGTGGTAAACATTCTATGAATATGTTAGTTGGCTTCTTAAACTGCTTGAATTTCAAAGGAGGTAAGTGTGTGTTGTACTCTTCGGAGCATGTGAAAAACTATTGTAGATGTCTTTTTGACTTGATCATGCAGTCGATGACTTCGACCCCTGAACCATGGAGTTGGCTCTGAGGGTATCCTGCTCTGCAATGTGTTTATTCTGGTCTGGGGTCTCACTGTACTTCAGCCCTATGTATGTATTGGATACCCCCTAAACATTTTGACTCAGTTCAAAGACATTGAATCCTTGTAAGAATAAATGCCCTATAAGCGCTATGGATGCGTGTTGTTTAATTCCTGCATATCCCAGTCATGTGATTCTTCTACTCTTTGATTCTCCTCTTGCCCTTGGGGGTTCTGGATGTTGTAATTCTAAGAAAGCAGATTGTCCCAGGTGAGCTGAATAAGATGCACAAAAAGTGAAAGAGGAATCTCCCTAACTCTCTTACAGATTGAAAAAAGAATTCTCTTTCCCACCACTTCCTAGTTGAGGAAAATAATCAATATTCTATCCTAACAAAGTAGGCCAAGGAGAAGTACCTTGTGAAATCACACTGTAAAAACTGATCCTGCCCATGTCAGACTTGGTACACACAATTAGGTAACACGAACTGGAGAGTCTTTAAAGTGTCAGTTGAACAGCAGCATACTATCTTGTAAGTGGTTTGTATTTAATGCACTAGGTGACGATTTTATGAGTTACTCTTGGATATCTGTAGGTTCCTCCTGCCACCTTGCCCTTGCTCACAATGGAGGCCGAGAAGATTCTTAGAAATGCCAAAGAATAAAGCCCTGCAAGGTGTGGTTTGGAACTTTGCATGAATCTTCAATCAGATATATCCTCTGCTAATTGCTAAAATCTGTTTATTGTTGTCTTTCCAGTCCTCACACAAGCTGAGCTTGCAGACTGTCATTTGCTCTGTCTTTCCAACTTTGTCGTTTGGTAGTAAATACTAATAGGTAAATCTCTCCTCCTACAGGAGGCAATGATTGAATCAATCCTAGAGGGGAAGGCTGGAATCCTAACTGCACAAGGCGCAGAAGGGATATTTTATACTGAAGTAGCTGATATTCAATAAATGTACAGCTCATCCTGCCTTAGCCAGATCACTGAAAGTAAACAGGAGTTCTCTTCATGAACTATGAATGTCCAGGATCTTACAATTTTTTTCAAAAAAAACTGAAACAATAAAAATGTTTTTCCAGCAATTTTCCCTTGAATGAAACTTAACTTTCACAAATGTACCTAATGGTGTAAGTTGTGAGCAAGCTTTTACAATATGTGTGTGCCTATTTAGTGCAGTTAGAGTTTGAATTACTAAAAGACATGAACAGGTAAGTACAGAGATAGTCAAATAAATACCTAATAATTAGCTTGAAGTTCCTTTATACAGTAGCATTATAAACATTGCAAAATATCGTAGTTTTCTATCCCTGCACAGATGAAGGAAATATAGCATAATGTACACAGTGATTTGTATCTGACACACCAGAGGCACCAGTGTATATGATGTGACCTCCTGAAGAATGTAATAGTCTATTTCCCAACCCAGAAAAAGAATAGGCAGAGCCTGACCCTACCTAAGTTTAGGTACAATGTAAGCCTGCCCTTCTGGAGCTCCAAGGTGATGTGGTCGCCACGTTGACCTTCTCCATGGAACAAGACTCCATCCCCTTGCAAGCTCTTGAACTTCAGGGAGATCACATCTTTGAGAGTGCTCATCAGCTTCTGATTGAACCTGTACAGAAGGGAGCTTCGGCCATCAAAGTCAGCAACATCTGATTCTGGGTACAAAAAGGGAGGAAAACAGAAATCATAAGTCCTCATGATTTGTTGTTTCTGTTTCTTATTTTAGTGGTTGCTCAATTCACATGAATGTTCTTGAGATCAGAAAGGTTCCATCTCAACTGGAAACATATAGGCTAGACCTAAATTAATTAGGCTCTGAGGAATTACTCATTTATAGCAATCACTCCACACTGAGTCAAAATGAGCTGATCATTAGACTAGAAGCAGAAAACTCTCATTAGTGACATGTCAGACTTTGCTTGAGGGGACAAGGTGAGAATAACAAAAATATCTATGTCAGGCTTACCATGTCAGGTGGCTGGTTTATAATAACTTCTCATGATTTATCTTGCTTATTAATTTGTTTATGATGGTTGGAACCATCTGATCTTTCAAGGCAGGAAAGGTTTCATGGCAGGACAGTAAAAAAGAGATGTTGTTTGTTATGCCCACTTGGGTTGAATAGTTCAATCTTTGCAGAATCCTGTATTGAGAAGGATTCTGAGGCTCCTTACGGGTTAAGGATAAAAGAATACTAGTAAAGGAAAGTTTGGTATTTCGTTAGGGAGAACAGATACACTGCATGTTTGCCTTTCCTGTCTTGTTCTGTGCTGGCAATACATGTCTTTTCAGTATTGTCATACAAAAATATTTACTGTTAGTTTTGTCTTTCTTCTAACCAGAGATTTCTTTAGTTTATTAACAAAAATTGCACATATTTATGGGGTATCATGTGAAATTTTGATATATGAATACATTGTGTAATGGTTAAGTCAGAGTAAGCATATCCATATCTGAAAACAATTATCACTGTATTGAAATAAAAGCATTGACATTAACTTCTTCTAGTTTTTTTCTTAAAACAATTATCATTTGTTATTGTCATTCTTTCATGCAATAGGACAACAGAACTTATTTTTACAATCTCAATCTAACCTAGTATCCATAGACTTTCCTACCCGTGTCTCCTCTCTGCTTAGTGCAGCCCCTGGTAACCACTGTCTACTCTCAAATTCTACGTGATAATGCCTTTGTATAGAACATATGTGCCAGATCACGTGTCACTTGCCTTCCTGTGCCTTACGTATTCTTTTAACATAAGGCCTCCCAGTTCCATTATTATTAAAGCCAAAAAGAGAAGATCAAAGTATCATGATTTAAACAAAGCTATACCAGGAAAGCTAATAGGGACTTTATTTGCAAACTGTGATGGTAGGTTATTTTTGTATCCTTTTCCCAAGGACTTACCATGAAAGCTTTTGTAGCAACCTTTTCTTACTCTTACAATAAGAAAAATCCAAATCTATTTATGACTTGAAACAGATTGCTCATATCCCATCTCACATGGGTGAAGTGGAAGTTAAGGGTGTATGAAGGAGTTGAGAGTTTTCTTCTGTGAAATCTAATACTTAAGAAAACTTAATTGTTTCAATTAAGCAAAGGAAATTCTCAGTTCATTATATGAAATGATAAATTAAGTGCATTTTATGGTCAAAAGTTAAGAAATAATGTTTGTGAAGCTAGGTTTTTGAAATAGAAAAATAAAATTATACTTTTCTGTAATTAGTTTTAGAACACATTTGCATAATTCATTCCTAAGGCATAAAGTGATTCCAACCAAGAGTCATGGGTAACTCCAGACTGTGAAAAAAATTCTGTCCAGATGCAGAGAGATTTTCAGAGATTCCCACTCCTCTCAGAACCACCCTGCCCCATCAGTGAACTCTGCCTAGGCTCCCAGTTAGATTTCTACTCAAGCCAATTAGGCGCTCCAGGCATATGATGGATATAAATGAGCACGTGAGTTTAAACTCTGATAGCCATAGATTCTTAGCTCATTCACCTTGGATCTCCAAGACTTCATTTCTTTATCTAGAAATTGGAGACAATTATGTTCACTAGAAAAGGATGACAGAAGAAAGGAACATAGCAGAGTAAAATTCAGCTACATATCATAGCTTTTTGAGGAGCTGCAATCGCCACACTTGGAAAACAACTTAAAAGAAAAGTGAGACTTCGGGATTAAAGAAAAACTCAACAGGAAAACTTAGAAACCACAGAACATGGAGAGAAACTGAAGGCAACAAGAAAAGAACACTAGGGGGACCTGTCTTGGCAAATACTAGGTAAGCCCACAGAAAGTTGGCCACTTCAGGGAGAAGCAACAGACCAAGTGATTACTGTTAGCCCCAAAAGCCCATAGGTATTATAAATTGCAAAAATATTGCAGCATTTTACTCTAAAATCATTCATCCCACATGGAAATCTAATGGTGCAGAAGAAATCCATTGTAGAACCATCATTTTTAAAGGAGCCATTTTGGGAAAGGGTTATTGAGCATCTGAAATCACAGAATAACTGGATATCAAGGTCTGTGCAGTCAGCTGTCACAGTGATCTGTGAGGTAACCCAGCATGGGAGTTGCCCCCTTAATATTAGCATCACTATCAAGCTTCATTGATTTTCACTTATTTAGTTAACTGAGTGCTATGAGTGCTGAACCATTTTGTATTGTTAAACGGTGTATGGTTGTTACATTTAACAGGTATTTAGTATATGTCAATATTTCCTTTGTGTTTGTACTTACAGTTGCATCATAAGCTTTTGAAGTGTTAAAGGTGGCACAGTAACAGGATTTTGCTTCTTATTGTGTATCAATATATGGTTTATCTCTGATAGCAGCTGATTTCTTTGCTTTTGCCAGTGGTGGCACTCATATTGCTGTTGATATCAATTGGATTTGCTATATATCATTCTCTGCATTTGTGTCTTTGACATTATTGCAGTTTATTTTTTCCTCTATGGTGCTAGGGATCAAGTCCCCAGAAGAAAGTTGGACATTAAGGTAAGCCACAAATATTACAGTGAGTAGGTTCAATAGGGGTTCAAACACCAAAATATTGCCAAACACAAAACATATCACAGGGCCAGGGATGGTGCACGCTCAGCACTTGGGAGGCGGAGGCAGAAGGACTACTGTGAGCTAAAGTCCAGCCAAGGCTACAGGTTGAATTCAAGGATAGGCTGCACTACAAACCAAGACCCTGTCTCAGACAACAACAAAAATCATGGAAAAACAGTTTCTAACTGAAGAGAAATAGTATTTACATCCTAACTAATCTTCAACTTCTACAAAAACAGCATAAATATGAGAAAGGAAGACAACAAGGTACTTCTCCAAAGCCTTAGCTCCCCAAAAGCTGATCTCACAGACTAAAGTATAGAAAGTTACAAGAATGCAAAAACAAAACCACCAAAATACGTTAAGAGATCAAAGAATAAACACATTAGGTAATTCATAAAATGTTTAGTGAATTTAAGCTAATTTTATTAAATGGAAAAGGGACTTTATTAATAAAATGGTCAACAGATTTAAATAAGATTGAGCTAAACAATATAATAAAAGGTATCAGTGACCAGCTCCTAAACAATTAAACACTGTGAAAAGGAAGCAAGCAGGAATACAAAATATGAAACATCCAACAGAAAGGATGGGTAGCAGATTTGTAAATATGAGAGAAGAGTATCAAACTGAAGATAAGTTGGACATAGGATATTATGAACTCAGTAATATAAACAGGACAGGACAATATGCAAGATAAATCCATCAGTTGTTGGATGACTCAAAAATATCAAAATGGTAAGAAAAAAAGGAAAAAGCAGATTACTCAACAGGTATAAGAAAGGTGTTCATTCAATTGATACCCATAAGGTTTCCAAATCTAGTGAAGGAGTTAAGTATTTAAGATCTATTATTTGTATGTACCAACTCCTCATGATAATTGTAATTACTATGAATTGCAAGTGTGTGCTGATTTAAAAAAAAAAAAGAATTCAATATCACAGTGCAAGAGGCACATGAACCCTCCAGTAGCACAACCCGAAAAGAACTTCTACGTAATACATCATATTCACCATCCCAGAAATTTGACTGAAAGACAAAATATTAAGTGCTGTTTTTTTAAAAAAAGCATGTTACTTAGAAAAGCAAACATTTCAGTATTATAACAAATTTCTCAGCACAAATCTTCAATGCCAGGAGGAATTATAGTGAATTTTTTCAACTTTCTAAATGAAAATAAATTTCAACTTCAACTTTTATATTCTGCAAAATTATCCTTTAAAATTGACAGAGAAGTAAAGACTTCTGTGGACAATGCAGCCCTAAAGAAAGGTATAACCACTAATCTGGCATTGGAGCAAGCAATCAGTGGGATGCTCCACAGAGACAGGGAGGCCACCAACGTCAAAGAGAGCAAGTAGAAGCATAGGTCTAATTGGGAGACACATTAAGTAAATATATATGATTATTTTAATTCTTCCTGGAAGTTACTAGAAGGAGAATAGCTGGATCAAATGGGACCTCTAATTCTAGGTTTTATTTTTTTTTTTTTTTTTTGAGGAATGTCCACAATGATTTCCATAATCATTGCACCAGGCTACACGACCACCAGCAGTGGAAAGGGATTCCTTTTTCCTCACAGACCCTTCACCATTTGTTATTAGTTGATTCACTGATGATAGTCATTCTTTCTGGAGTAAGATGAAATCTCAGCATTGTTTGAATTTTCATCTCTCTAATAACCAGTGCTATTGAATATTTCTCTGTATGTGTGTGCAAATATATATATATATATATATATATATATATATATATATATTTGCCACTTATATTTCTTTATCTGACATGTGTGTACACAGAAGGGTCTTTTTGGCTTGAGTCTTTATGGTAAGACTGGCTTTTTTCATTTCTAGATATAAATTCTAGATATAAGTCCTTTGTCTGAAGGACAGCTGTGGGTTGTCTGTGGGTTGTCTTTTTACTCTGTTGGAGATTTCTTTGATTGTGCAAAACTTTTTAATAGGATGATATTCCAGTTATTGATACTTTGTGTCATTTCCTATGTGATCAGGCTTTTGTTCACGAAGTTTTTGCCCACATCTATGTCTTCAAGCATTGAATCTATTCTCTTTTCCAGGAGATTTAATGTTTCTG